TAATTAACTTTCCCCTCCAAAAAGTCCTCCTAAATTCATGCAGATGAATGGAGCCCATACAACTAGTAAGTTTGTACAAATCATGCAGCCATTATATAAACTAGGAAAAATCAACACACAGTGTGTATAGCACATATTTCTAACAGGGGCATTAACGGCAAGCTGAGATTTTGTCAAAATGATGGAAGTACAAAAGGAGTAGCCACTGCTTTGCAATGCCACCATTCACATTTTGTCATTTGCCCTCCCCCCTTCACTCTCCCAATGGTGCCCATGATTTCTGTACTGATTTTTTTGTTGATATGGACCTCCACAGAATCCCTACACCCAAACAGCACATTGGATCACACATCATGTAGAATCATTGTTTGCTTAACCATGCTTTACTGAATAACCACAATCAGTTACGTACACGTTAAGCTATAAAACATGGTTTATAACTACAGTACAATGGCTAGGTTCAAAAACTGCACTGGTTTTCACTTAGTAAACTGTCTAATCTAGCTAATCTCCTGGTTATGTATGGGCAAGGCAATGAAGTATCACTTTATAGTACAGAGTAATTAATGTTTCAAGTCCATCTTTTAGTAATTATCTGAACTGGAAACAGATGATTATGAAACTTTCCAGATCCAGCCTCAGTAACCACCTTAGAAAGCATCACATTTTTTAAGCCTATGCAGATGTGATAATGTTTATCATTACAGATGTGAGTTTTAATTTGACCTAGAGCATCAACAATATCACAGTTACTATCCTCCAGAGTGCTGCACAAGTTTAAGTGATAGACTTGTGAGCAGAGGGTATTTGATAATGGATCTCTGACTGCCCCATTTATTCTTAGAAGGTGATTACTTAACTAGAAATACATATGACAGAACAAAATCAAAGTATACTTCCTGCTGTACAACAGATGCATCACAAAATCACCTACAGGCAAAGATTATCTGATGCTTGAAAATAAGTTTAATTTGTTTATGAGTAGAATATTTTCAAGATCCAAAAATATGATATATGTTCTTTTATAAAGAATGCAATTAAAATAATATATAAATATATACACACTGCAAATGTAGTACAGATAACAAATTCATTTAAGCCCATTTATGCACATTAGTAACACACCATGTGGCAGAAAGACTAGGACTACAAGAAGACCCCTTGGCGATTTATTTTATATTAAATCCCTAATGGCCTCTCCTTATTTTTGCAAAAATATGCACAGAAGTCCAGACTATGCAACCATTGAAGTGAATGGTTATTTATTTGCTAAACGAAAGCCCTATGTTTAATGTTCCTTAGACATAAGGTAGTCTGCAAAAGTCACATTCCTACAGCTCCATACATCATTTATTTTACATACCCTAAGTCTTTGTAAGAGGCATCTGGGGAAAGAATTTTTTTTACAAAGTCTGAATTTTATTTCATAAGTCATTACCAAAAGATTAAAGAGAAACGTATTTTTACTGGGTTTTCTAGTTTCAAATCAAATTTCTATAATCAGCCTGAACATCATCTATAAAATAGCATTTAAGGGTTTGTACAGTTGCAATATAAATACAAGGCCTCTCATGTGATTAAAACTATAAAAAACAAAGTCTCCTTATGTCCAGCCCAGCTCCCGGTGATTTTATGTCCATACAGTTTTCTTGGTGACAATTAAGAAATGGATTTCCACTGCCTTCTTTTGGGATGTTTTTCAGTTTCTAGCCACTGTATTCTTTGGAAGTCTCCCATCCAAGTACTGACTGTGACGAAACCTGCTTAGTTTCTGAGTCCAGACAAATTCAGCCAAGTGCTGCCAAAACCAATTCCATCCTTTAGAAAAACGGTCAGCTAGATTAGCTTTCCCTGAGGTGGTACCTTATTCAGTGTCATTACCCATCCATAATGCATGTTCCATGTACTGATGTTCCAATATCACAGCTACAATTCTCCAGATGATACAGAAGTTTAAGTTATAGACTTGTGAGCAGAGGGTATTTGATAATGGATCTCTGACTGCCCCATTTATTCTTAGAAGGTGATTACTTAACTAGGAATATGTATGACAGAACAAAATCAAAGTATACTTCCTGCTGTACAACAGATGCATCACAAATTCATTTAAGCCCATTTATGCATGTTAGTAACACACCATGTGTTTTCCACCAGAGATTTGGAAGGCACCTTCACAGCCATTCAGAAGGGCCTTGGGATTTGGCCACTGGGTCATTTGGTCATTGCGTGATAATAATTACTATAATGCTGGTTTACAAGCTATATTTAATAACAATTAGGGTTTTATTAATTCATTATGTTTCTGTGTTATGTTGCAGTTAAGGTAATCAATCAATCAAATCTTTATTATGGTCATAGATCAGCATAGTAGTTAAGGTATTGTTTTGATTATTATTTGTTTTTAACCATTAACTGCCATGTATCCTTGCTGAATATGGCAGGACAAAAATAAAATAAATACATAAATAATACAAGTAAGATACAGGCCAGC